GTGTACTGGGTTCCGGTTCCTCCCCCGTGAACAACTGTAGGCTTTGAGGCCACCAGGCATGACTGTTATTAGGTGGGTTCTCATTTAGCCCCATCAAAAGCCTATTTTAATTTTTCCTTCTGGTTTTGCCAGATGTTCTTGGCTGTTCGATAGAGCCTCATGTGCATAGTTTCCAAGCCTAGGATTGTGTGAATGTACTGTGCCGTCTCAGTACTATACTGTATATAGGTATGACTGGGTTGTTGCTCCTCAGACTGCTTTGTGTAGATGTAGTACTGTACATTAAATGACCCTTGACCTACAGAAAGGATCATTACACATTTCTGAAATACACAGTTTCGGTGCTGTAGCTGCTTAATATTAGAGCACTCCTTCCAACATATGCCTATGTAAAGCTGTACATCACAAAATGTGTATGGTGCACTGTGCTCTACAGTCACTTATCTCCAATAATGTTATTTATATCCTAGATTGAAGCATGACCCAGTAAACAAAAAGAAGAGCTTTTAAAAAGATACTAGAAAGACTATTTTTTATAAGCTGAATGGTAAAACCACAAAATGGTTTATGTGCAGTAGTAGTAAGGGCTAAATCGACTGGAAACATTCGAAACTTAGGTAGATTAAATACTGGGAACAGAACACCAAGTTTAGTTCTTACCCTGTCACTATAGATAGGTAATCCTGACAGTGGGTCTACACTACCCAACATAACTGGGCCCACTTGCAAGCGACATCATACTCATATGTAAGAAAACAATCGGGCTTGGAAGACACCTTGGCGATCATGAATACGACGTTTCAAGTAAAACAACTGGCTATTTACTAGGTAAACAATGAAGATCAGCATGGGCTCAGATAATCATGGCAGTGCCTCAACAAGTATCCAGTCATAGGTAAGGTTCGTCTGCACACCATAGAAGAATTATGAATTGGAATGGTGTGGGCTGCACAGGTCTTGGCTCAGATTGCAGTTTGTGCAGGTCTTGGCTTACACAGGTCTCTGCTCTTGCTTGTGCTCCACAACATTCATTGAACAACAGTTTGAATGGTAGTGGCTAGGACTTAGTTTAGCATCCTATATTAACTGAGAGCAAGACATTGATATGTGTGACATATTCAAAAGTTGGCTTCTCATTGTCCCATAATAGAAATATTATAATAGTAGAGGTACACGTGCCACTATTCTAGTACAGTACTAGTATATATACAGTGGTCCCTCGTTTTTCGTAATTAATCCGTTCCTGGAGCCGTTACTATAAACGAAATTTACGATTTGCGAATCAATTTTCCCCATAAGAAATAATGTAAATACAATTAATCCGTTCCTGACACCCAGAAGTATTAAAACAAAAAATTTTTTATATGAAATATACATGTAGTACATAAACAATACAATGGGAAATGATGAATGAAACATTAACAGCTTATCACTTACCTTTATTGGAGATTCTTCTTAGTGTATGGGAGACTGGGGGAGGAGAGATTGGATTGTTTACAGTTTGGAAGGGGAATCCCCTTCCAGTAACACCTCAGGTACCAATTGCTTCTCTGGGGTTGCTTCTCTTCTCTGTTTCTTAATGCCACTTGGACCACCTTGAGAGTCACTCTAGTCCTGTCTCGCAAAGTAACTGTGGAGAGAGCTCTGTTTCTGGCGTCTCTTTAACACTTCCCTAAAATGGCCCAAGACTTTGTCACTGTACATATTTCTCACCTTCTTTACCACAGGCTTGGCACTAGGAGCTTTCTTTGGAGCCATGGTAGCTTATTTAGTACTTGCAAGCACTAAAATGAGTGGAATATTATGAAATATTTCGTAGGAGCACTTGAGGGGACCTTCACTCACTGGTAAACAATGCCAGACTGGCTGGGTAGGGAGGCCGCCCCGGCTCACACCGTGCATACGTGTCCAGGATGAACTACTATTCGCGAGTCAACCTATAAAAAGCGAGTTCATGTTTATACGAAAATACCCCATGATTGGCGAAATTTACGATTGCCGAGAACTACGAAAAGCGAGGGACCACTGTACGTGTAAAAGTATCTAATCAAAGAAATGTGTAATTAATAAATCTGTTTTCTTGGCTAATTGACCACTGGGGAAATGTCCTTATTTCTTTTGACACAATTGCAGAGGTAATGCAGATTTTTCTATGATTTCTTGACTAACACTTAATTTGCTACAGTGACCGTGACTTTTTTCTTTTTTTTCCCTGTCCTTCCATAAACACTTCTATTTCCTTTCCTCTACCATCCCCATTTTTCTTGCCATGAAACACTGAATGACCCACATCTGTTTAATGTTTTCCATGAATATACCAACATAATGATAATGTTTAGCAGTGTTTATCATTACCATATGCCATATACATGTAGCTTATACTCGTCTTTGATCAAAGCTTCTGTGGTAATATTCAATTTTTGCAACTAAATTTAGTTTGAATTGAAAACCTATCTAGAAGCAGTACTAATAAGTACAGTGTTAAGAGGAGGTGAGAAGTCATGTTAAGAATGATAACCACACTAATGATGCATACAACATACATACCAGACATTAACATTTTTTCTGTTATTCAAATGCATTGATTTTCTGTATATGTTTGGTTTATGCACATGTAGTGGGCTCAGATTTGTTTAACAGATTCATCAAGAAATTAATATTTTTTTGTATACCTCAGTGACCATCTGCCAAGGCAGGGTGATCCAAAGAAGAAAACATGTTCTCCATAATTCATTCATTTTCTGTCGTGTCAGAAGTGTGCTAACATTACAGTTCAGATTACCATCTGACTGCAACCCTTCTTCAGAGTGCAGACACTGCCCTTTCCACCTCTATGCCTCAGGTCAATCCCTTCATAAAAGTTAATTTGCTCACACTTCTACAGCAAATACATTAAAAGCCAAATAAAAAATGTGTGCATATGTATGTATGCATTATACTTAGGGGATTGTTGAGTCTTTTGAAAGGGATGGTACCAGGGTAAGAGAAGTTGAAAGTGAACATCCAAATCTGCCAAGGCAATGCTGTATGAGGAGAGCTTTGAGCATTTATGCCAGTGACAGGATCGTTCCCACCAAGAAAAGGTTACCCAAAGATGAAAAGATTCACATTCACTCATTCAGTAGTTACCTTTCAGGAAATACACAGATATCACAGTTCAGATGGCCCTTCAAACTGCAGCATCATCTTGTATAGTACATGAATTCAGATCTAAATTCAGCACAACCAAGAGGAATGGGCTGCATCAAAACAGTTGGTTAACCCTTTCAGGGTTTCGGCCTTACTAGTACGGCTTACGCCCCAGGGTTTTTGACGTACTAGTACGCCTAAATTCTAGTGCCCTCAAATCTAGTGAAAGAAAGCTGGTAGGCCTACATATGAAAGAATGGGTCTATGTGGTCAGTGTGCGAAGTACAAAAAAAATTCTGCAGCACACAGTGCGTAATGAGATAAAAAAAAACTTTGACCGTGTTTTTTAATTAAAACAGCAACTTTGCACTGTATTTTCGTATGGTATTTGTTGTATTCTAGTTTTCTTGGTCTCATTTTATAGAATGGAAGACATATTACACAAATTGAGATGATTTTGACTGGTTTTATAATGAAAAGTATAAATTGAGTTCAAAGTAGCAGAAATGTTTGATTTTTACCAAAGTTCAAAAGTAAACAAATCATGCCAAGCGTCCAATACACATCAACTGGTGAGTCTTATATTCTTTCACAAGTGCGCTGATATTATTTATACCATTTCTACACTAATGCAGTAGTCTGCATAACAGTAAATCTTCTATTTTTTGTAAGAATAAAAATTCAAAGTGGAAAACCAAAGAAATATGAGGGGCCTGGGGATGTGACTAACGAACAGAGAACTTGTTATTTTAGTGCCAGGAATGTCTTTCTTGTTTATTCTGGACCCTATTCGGAAATTGGCATCTTTTGAAATTTGTGTGAAATTAGCAAAATTGCTAAATTCTGACCACTTTATTGGATAGTTGAAATCGGTAAATGGGTGATTTCTTGTACTCACTCGACAGAAAAAATGGAGTTCTAGCGAAATAGTTATGATTTTTGTCGACTAGCACACTGGAATTGGCCGAAAATAGGGCTCAAAGTGGGCAAAATCGCCAATGCGTAAATATCATCGAGACCGCTAACTTCGCGAGAGCATAATTCCATAAGTTTTTCATCAAATTTCATACTTTTGGTGTCATTATGATCGGGAAATGATTTTATATCTTTTCATAAGAAAAAATTATTTTTTTATTTTTTGAAATTTGGGGGACCCTGAGAACAAGTCTCGGAGAGGTCCTGGGGACCCTGAAAGGGTTAATAATTAGTAGGTGAGGAGTTTGACCTCTTGCAATAATTTTTTTTATTAAAATTAGTACATTGTGCAGCTACTCTGCTCCGTATTACAATTTTTCAAGGTTAGAGCAAGAACTATGTTTACCTAACAACCATCGTACAAAAAGGTTATTCCTGTCATACTCAATAACACGAAATGGGTTTGAAAAAAAAAAAATCAGCCTTAATTCAGAGACTTCAGCAGGATGATAAAAATATCATCATGCATTCCACTGTGTTCAGTAACCATACCTGCTTTGAAGGTTTCCTTCCAGCAGGGCTAGTTCTTTTTTTTATGTTGGAATTATCATTGTGGCTCGCATATCACACACAATAGAAAGGGGAAGGACATCATACACAACCATTCAGGTGTTAATGAAAAAATATGTATGGCTAAAAAGCTATTGACATTATTATCCAGATTGTTTAAGTGATTTTCATTAAAAATTATGTGTTAAAATGTTATAAAATTGCCTATTCTGAAAATTTGTGATGTGTAAATACATGAAAATTAGGTCACCAAAAATAATGAAAGGAAATGGTCACCATTCCTTATCATATTTATTCTATATATTCAGTAATGCTTTTCTAAATTTTATATGTTGATGCAATTATGACTTCAGTATTAACTTTGGCTTATGTTTTTCTCGTTGCAGATTTGAGATCTCGATTTTCGTATTGATCTTCCTAAACATGGTGACGATGGCCATCGAACACTACCATCAGTCACGCACAGTTGCCTTTACATTGGAAGTCTTCAATGCTCTTTTCACCACCATCTTTGGCCTGGGTGCGATTTCTTTAACATGATTTTTTTTTTGTTTCATAAACAATATGATGAGTAGTGACTGAAATAATGATTCCATAAATGCCAAAGCTAATCTTTTAGATTACAAGAAATAATAATGTACAGAAGGTCTCCAACTAACAATGCATCCCATGTTACACATATCGATTATTAACACCAAATTGTAGTACAAACACACATGTAACACTAAATCTCATACTCTTGTTTTTTCTAATTAAACAAATCGTTTGTAGGTTGAAAAGCCGGGAATGCAACATATTTGTGTGTTGGTGACCTCTCGTGTTATTCTGTGTGCATGCACTGATGTACCAGAGAACTGATATGCCTTTTAAGTGGTGTCTATAAATTTTAAAAAAGTAGTATTTATCATTGCTATAATAATGTTTTCCAGTGGTTGAATATAACATAATTCTTGCCTAACCTTGTCTGGGGAAAGTCAGAAAAGTGCTTGTTGGGAAATTATTCTGAGGAACCATATTCAAAATTTTACATTTCTAACAACTAATACCATTACACTTGATTCACCTGGAGCAAGTAGGTACTTGGGTGTTAGTTGACTTGTGTGGGGACAAAATTAACCTAAGTTGCTTTAAATGCTCTTCATAACGAGGGGCCTTCTATATACGTAGTATGTCGCTGATGTCAGCTAGGTCTGTGCAAGTTGTATCTTGCACTTGTAGAAATAAAGATTATTACAGTGGAACTCCGGTTTTCGCATGCTCCAATTATTGGACATCTCAGTTTTAGGACCATTTTTTGTGTGAAATTTTGTTCTGGATATCAGACCTTGATCTGGTAATCGGACGTATTATACTCGTCCGCCTGCCTGGGTACGCCGCCACTATGCGTCTGTCTGCCTCTGTCACTGGTTGAGTGAGCATTACTTTGCGCATTCCAAACTATTTCGTAATAATCCCTTGTTTTTGGTACTTGTTTATTAATTGACTATGAAATAAACCACCATGGGTCCAAAGAAAGTTCCTAGTGCCAACCAGTCCTTTGGTAAAGGGCTGAGAGAGGGGGAGAATGTGCCTTCTTCAATAATTCTACAATATGTACGATACAAAAGCAGCAGGAGTCGATAAAGGCTATAGTACCAGCCAGCGATGAAGTGTAGCATTAACGGTGTAGCAAGTAAGTTAAGCGATTAAGCAATAGAAAAATGACATGAAACTGACTCCTCCATTGTTGTTTGAGGTATATAGAGCCACTGACAGCACCGCCACCACCAACACTATATGTATGGCGAATGCTGTCAGTGGCCCTTATAAACCCAACACCACCACCACCACCACCACTCCACATACATAATGACATATTTTATTCATTCTAGAGTGTGTTTCAGGTTTCTATGTTATTTACATTATTTATTATGTCATATTACCTGGAGTTTACCTGGAGAGAGTTCCGGGGGTCAACCCCCCCGCGGCCCGGTCTGTGACCAGGCCTCCTGGTGGATCAGAGCCTGATCAACCAGGCTGTTGCTGCTGGCTGCACGCAAACCAACGTACGAGCCACAGCAAGGCTGGTCAGGAACCGACTTTAGGTGCTTGTCCAGTGCCAGCTTGAAGACTGCCAGGGGTCTGTTGGTAATCCCCCTTATGTATGCTGAGAGGCAGTTGAACAGTCTCGGGCCCCTGACACTTATTGTATGGTCTCTTAATGTGCTAGTGACACCCCTGCTTTTCATTGGGGGGATGGTGCATCGTCTGCCAAGTCTTTTGCTTTCGTAGTGAGTGATTTTCGTGTGCAAGTTCGGTACTAGTCCCTCTAGGATTTTCCAGGTGTATATAATCATGTATCTCTCCCGCCTGCATTCCAGGGAATACAGGTTTAGGAACCTCAAGCGCTCCCAGTAATTGAGGTGTTTTATCTCCGTTATGCGCGCCGTGAAGGTTCTCTGTACATTTTCTAGGTCAGCAATTTCACCTGCCTTGAAAGGTGCTGTTAGTGTGCAGCTATATTCCAGCCTAGATAGAACAAGTGACCTGAAGAGTGTCATCATGGGCTTGGCCTCCCTAGTTTTGAAGGTTCTCATTATCCATCCTGTCATTTTTCTAGCAGATGCGATTGATACAATGTTATGGTCCTTGAAGGTGAGATCCTCCGACATGATCACTCCCAGGTCTTTGACGTTGGTGTTTCGCTCTATTTTGTGGCCAGAATTTGTTTTGTACTCTGATGAAGATTTAATTTCCTCGTGTTTACCATATCTGAGTAATTGAAATTTCTCATCGTTGAACTTCATATTGTTTTCTGCAGCCCACTGAAAGATTTGGTTGATGTCCGCCTGGAGCCTTGCAGTGTCTGCAATGGAAGACACTGTCATGCAGATTCAGGTGTCATCTGCAAAGGAAGACACGGTGCTATTAGATCAATTGTGATAGATAAATAAGCCGTAGAGTTGATATTAGTCATATTCTTTAAAAAATGATTTTTTTGTGAATATTTTTGGGTGTCTGAAACATATTAATTGTATTTACGTTATTTCTTATGGGAAATATTGATTAAGTTTTTGCATGTATTGGTTTTAGAATGACTTTCTGGAAGGATTAAGTTCAAAAACTGGGGTTCCACTGCATTTTATAAGTGGTTGAGCTCAGATTCCCACAGAAGCTCAGTGACATAGGTAATAGAAGGTACCCTCTCCTCCTGCCATTGATGGTTTGCCTGGACTTCACTCACACTGCAGTACCACCTGGTGCTCTCACCATTCAACACAACATGCCCTCATTATGAATACTCTTTTTTTACAGGAGTGTTTCTTTTATTCTTGTTTGCCCTTTACTGTTTCTTAGCTTCTTTTTCTCACTTGAATATGCTTAGATAGAATTATTATCTTCTCAACATTAATTGTTTTTAGTACAAACAAGTAGTGGCTGATCCATTAATGGGATATTTGGTATCAACACTCGTGTAAAATTCTTTGGAAAATGTTTCAGATGTTCCTTTAGTAATCTTCAGCACTTGAAGACATTTAAAAAGTCCGGAAAAAATTCTGCATGTGGCTGCCTCCTAAAATATGGGAGTTTGTGAAGGAAAAGTGGCATCAGATATAAATGGACAAGCAGTTTTCTTTACAATTCATAAGAGTTTCCTGTTTTAAAAAAATATTGACCATTATTAAATAACAAAACCTAATTTGCTTGTCCTTATTCCATACAGAGGCGATAGTCAAGATCATTGGCTTACGCCATCATTATTTTACGGTTCCATGGAATCTCTTTGACTTCATCCTTGTCTTCGCATCCATCATGGGAATCCTCCTCCAAGATGTGCTTACCAATTTCCCCATCAGCCCGACACTTCTCAGGGTAGTCCGGGTCTTCAGGATCGGACGCATTCTCCGTCTTATTAAGGTATGTTTCAGTAATATCCTTAAGGTACCCCCAGGTGTACCTCAGAAGGAACTACTGGGACCCCTGCAAGTTTGTTGTGGTGGATGGTTACCCTTTGGAGCACCATAGTTTGATGTCGTTTGGTTAAATGTCTGTATAGTACATCATGTGGGCTGAGTTGGTTTCTGCAAGTTTGTCATTGTTGATGGAACCCCAGTGGCATATTGTCTTTATAGGTGTTGTTGAGTATAGTACTTGTTTGTGCATTGCTTCATTGGTCTGAAGAGGTTCCTGCAAGTTGTCTTTGGATAAAAGAATTGTGAAGCGTCTCAGTGTGGTATGTGTTTTGCTGTCTATGGTGGAATATCATCGAGAGCAAAATAATACATTTATATTCCTGATAATGTTTGAATCTGTGATAAATAAATTCAACATTAATTTACAGACTTACAGTATACACACTAGTTTATCTGTAATGAATTATTAAAGTTTAAAGAGTTTACATTATTCAGCATAGTACAAAAATATTTAAACAAAAGGAAGATAATACGCAGTTAAATACTGTACCCATTGAAAGATTCAGTGTGCCAGCCCCCGCCAAGTTATTAAAATCATTGCACTTAACCTGTAAGAGTTATACATCATCTGGAGAAAGAGAGATAATCAGGTTTGAATTGAGGAAGGTGAGTTTGACTTCAATTTCTTGGATAAAAAACCCTTCATCAAAGAACCCATCTTGAAGGAATTATGCTTTTACTAACTACTGTACATAAACTATACTGTACATTCTTCCTCCATTAACAATTATCATTTGCTAAAAGATGTGACGTGTACAAGAGGTGAGTGAGGCACTACTGTAAATAGAATGGTTTTCATGAACAGTGGAACTTTGACAAGTGCTATATACATTTGATGTGATTGTATATCGCTGTTTCATATGAAGACAGACACACCAGTTAATGAAAATGTTTTCATTGGACCTAAGGGGTTTAGTGTTTTTTTCATGAATGAAAATGTTAAGAATAAGTGGAAGTACAGTGGACCCCCGGTTTACGATCAGCTCCCAATGCGACCAATTATGTAAGTGCGTTTGTATGTGTATGTTTGGGGGTCTGAAATGGACTAATCTAATTCACAACATTCCTTATGGGAACAAATTCGGTCAGTACTGGCACCTGAACATACTTCTGGAATGAAATAATATCGTAAACCGGGGGTCCACTGTATAAACGTGAGAATGAAAGAGGTGGTGGTGACAGTATTTAGATAGTGGAGAGTGGATGTAGAAGATGGGTGTATGAAGTACAAGGTAATTAGGAGAGATGAGGGAGAGAAAGTGTTTGGTTGTCTGTGGAAAGTATAACTGTGCCACTGCATTAACAAATTGGAATGATTCTAGTGATATAGTAGTTCTGAAACTATTGTATGATTGTGAAGCATGTTTTTCAAATGCTGCAGTGAGGATAAAGCTGGTAGCAGTGGAAATACCTTGTTTGAGATCATTTTATGGTGTGACTATTATACAAAGAATAAGGAATTAAGAAATTAGAATATGGCGGTATGAAATGTACAGTGTAGAGTGGAAGAAGGCTTGTTGAGATAGTTTGGACATGTAAAAAGAATGGAGCAAGATTATTTGATATTGGTGTGTATACTAGGATAAATAAAATGATGTGAAGGGAGAAATGAAGGAAAGGGCACAAGTGATGTTCAGAGGTAGGGGTTTAAATTCCAGCACATACATGCAAACATGTTAAATCAAAATGTATGGAAGTACGTAATTTATGAAATCTAACATAGTGTTAGCCATCCCTTTGAAGAGATTCAAAGAAACCAGTGAACAAGATTGAAATTTTGAAGGCTGAAGTGTACATTACCTACATTTTGAAAGTAAATGAGGATGTGAAGGTTCATTGGGTCACTTTTGTACTGAAATGTTGGTGACCTTCTGGAAAGGCAGCTAGGGTCTCTTGGTGAAAATAACCAAAGTGTAAAAAATATTAGAGTTCCAAGAATTATCTACAAGCAGTATTAACCCCTTGACTGTCGCAACCCCAAATCCTGAGGGGTCTCCTGGTGTCGCAAAATTTACAAAAAAAAAAAAAAAAAAAAAAAAAAAAAAAATTGAAATGATAGAGAATCTTTTCCTGATTCTAATGACACCAAAAGAACAAAATTTGATGGAAAACTGACGGAATTACGCTCTCGCAAAGTTAGCGACCTCGGTGATATTTACGAATCGGGGATTTCGCCCACTTTGAGCCCTATTTTCGGCTAATTCCATTGTTCCAGTCGACCAAACTCGTAGCTATTTCTTTAGAACTCCATTTTTTCTATCGACTGAGTACAAGAAACTGCCCATTTACAGATTTCAACTACCCAATAACATGGTCAGAAATTTGCAATTTGGCCATTTTCACAAAAATTAAAAACATGACAATTTCAAAATAGGGTCTAGAATGAACAATACAGACATTACTGGCTCTAAAATAACACTTTATTTGTTCATCAGTCACATCTCAGGCCCCTCTGATATTATTCTTGCAATTTTGAATTATTTTGAATAGGTAGTAGGTTGGTAGACAGCAACCACCCAGGGAGGTACTACCGTCCTGCCAAGTGAGTGTAAAACGAAAGCCTGTGATTGTTTTACATGATGGTAGGATTGCTGATGTTTTTTGTCTGTCTCATAAATATGCAAGATTACAGGTATGTCTTGCTACTTCTACTTACACTTAGATCACACTACACATACATGTACACATTTATTTATACACACTCACCTGAGTTTTCTTTGGTTTTATCTTAATAGTTCTTGGTCTTATTACTTTTCCTTTTATATCCATGGGGAAGTGGAATAAGAATCTTTCCTCCGTAAGCCATGCGTGTTGTAAAAGTCAACTAAAATGCCGGGAACAATGGGCTAGTAACCCCTTTTCCTGTAAAGATTACTAAAAAAATAAGAAGAAGAAAATTGTCAAAGTGGGAAGTCTGAATGTGCGTGGATGTTGTGCAGATGATAAGAAAGAGATGATTGTGGATGTTATGAATGAGAAGAAGCTGGATGTCCTGGCTTTAAGGGAAACAAAGCTGAAGGGGGTGGGAGAGTTTCAGTGGAGGGGAAAAAATGGGATTAGGTCAGGGTTTCAAATAAAGTTAGAGCTAAAGAAGGAGTAGCAATAATGTTGAAGGATAAGCTATGGCAAAGGAAAAGAGGGACTATAAATGTATTAATTCAAGGATTATGTGGAGTAAAATAAAGATTGGATGTGAAAAGTGGGTTATAATAAGCGTGTATGCACCTGGAGAAGAGAGAAGTGTAGAGGAGAGAGAGAGATTTTGGGAAATGTTGAGTGAATGCGTGGGGAGTTTTGAATCAAGTGAGAGTAATGGTGGTTGGGGATTTCAATGGTAAAGTGGGTAAAAATGTTAGGGAAGGAGTAGTAGGTAAATTTGGGGTGCCAGGGGTAAATGTAAATGGGGAGCCTTTAATTGAGCTATGTGTAGAAAGAGATTTGGTAATAAGTAATACATATTTTATGAAAAAGAGGATAAATGTACAAGGTATGATGTAGCACATAATGAAAGTAGTAAGAGGTAGATGGGAAAAGAGGAAGGTGGCAACAACAAGTAAGAGGGAGGTGAAAGTGTATAAACTAAGGGAAGAGGAAGTTCGGGTGAGATATAAGCGACTATTGGCAGAAAGGTGGGTTAGTGCAAAGATGAGTAGTGGGGGGGTTGAAGAGGGTTGGAATAGTTTTAAAAATGCAGTATTAGAATATGGGGCAGAAGTTTGTGGTTATAGGAGGGTGGGGGCAGGAGGAAAGAGGAGTGATTGGTGGAATGATGAAGCTTAGAGAACACTTATCATCTGTTGACTGGGGTAACGAAGTGAGCTATCAATATGACAGTTTTCTGAACACTATACATGCTGCTCAAAGAACGTTTATCCCATATAAAGAAATTAGATCAAAAAGAAATGACCCAAAATGGATGAATAATAGGCTCAAATATCTACTAGGGCATAAGAAAGGAATTTATAGGAGTATCAAAAGAGGTGAGGGTCATCTTATGAATCAGTATATTAACATTAAGAGGGACATTAAAAAGGGGATAAGAAAAGCTAAAAGGGATTATGAAATTAAAGTTGCTTGGGATTCTAAAACTAACCCAAAAAGTTTTTTCCAGGTCTATAGAACAAAAGTTAGAGATAAGATAGGTCCCCTTAAAAATAACTATGGGCACCTTACTGACAAAGAGAATGAAATGTGCTCAATTTTTAAATATTATTTTCTCTCAGTTTTTACACAGGAAGACACTAACAGTATTCCAGTAATTAATTTTTATAGTGGGCTAGAAGAAGATAAATTATGTAACATCACATTCACATTCACTGAGTATACCAGGAAAAGTGTACGGTAGGGTTATAATTGAAAGAATTAGAGGTAAGACAGAATGTAGGATTGCGTTTGAGCAAGGAGGTTTTAGAGTGGGTAGGGGATGTGTAGATCAGGTGTTTACATTGAAGCATATATGTGAACAGTATTTAGATAAAGATAGGGAAGTTTTTATTGCATTTATGGATTTAGAAAAGGCATATGATAGTGGATAGAGGAGCAATGTGGCAGATGTTGCAAGTATATGGAATAGGTGGAAAGTTTTTAAATGCTGAAAAGGGTTTTTTTATGAGGATAGTGAGGCTCAGTTAGGGTGTGTAGAAGAGAGGGAGACTACTTCCCGGTAAAAGTAGGTCTTAACAGGGATGTGTAATGTCACCATGGTTGTTTAATATATTTATAGATGGGGTTGTAAAGGAAGTAAATGCTAGGGTTTTTTGGGAGAGGGGTGGGATTAAATTATGGAGAATCAAATTCAAAATGGGAAATTTGGGACAGTTACTTTTTGCTGATAATACTGTGCTTATGGGAGATTCTAAAGAAAAATTGCAAAGGTTAGTGGATGAGTTTGGGAATGTGTGTAAAGGTAGAAATTGAAAGTGAACATAGAAAAGAGTAAGGTGATAGGGTTCAAATGATTTAGATAAGAAAAATTGGATATCAAATTGGGAGGAGGAGTATGGAAGAAGTGAATGTTTTCAGATACCTTGGGGTTGACGTGTCGGCGGATGGATTTATGAAGGATGAGGTTAATCATAGAATTGATGAGGGAAAAAAGGTGAGTGGTGCGTTGGGGTATATGTGGAGTCAAAAAACGTTATCTATGGAGGCAAAGAAGGGAATGAAATAAAAGTATAGTAGTACCAACACTCTTATATGGGTGTGAAGTTTGGTGGTAAATGCAGCAGCGAGGAGACGTTGGAGGCAGTGGAGATGTCCATGTTTAAGGGCAATGTGGGGTGTAAATATTATGCAGAAAATTCGGATGTGGAAATTAGGAGAAGGTGTGAGTTAATAAAAGAAATTAGCCCAGAGGGCAGAAGAGGGGTTGAGGTGGTTTGGTCATTTAGAGAGAATGGATCAAAGTAGAATGACACGGAAACCATATAAATCTATAGGGAAGGGAAAGGGAGTGGTAGGGGTCGTCCTCGAAAGGGTTGGAGAGGGGGTAAAGGAGGTTTTGGGGGGAAAGGGGGCTTGGACTTCCAGCAAGCGTGCATGAGCGTTTAGATAGGGTGAATGGAGACAAATGGTACTTGGGACCTTTACGATCTGCTGAGTGTGAG